CGCTGACCTTAAGGTTCGCAGCCCGATTCGTAACCACTACGCTACCAGAACTCCTTAAGGAGACAAGTAGTAAGGAAAAAACCAAAATGGATGTCAGAAGAGACTGAAACTTGCTCTCCATTGTAGAGATGCTAGGGTGAGTAGAGTCGAAAAAATGAGGAGGAAAAAGAGCCGAACAGAAAACTTTAAAGTCAAGTATTATAATGCAATGTACAAAAACCTGGAGTTAGAAAACCAAAAGGAAAGAACACTCTCAGCATTCCTAAAGCTCAAAGAACTTGAAAAACACAAGCTTCCACTTGCAATAATGAAAATTCCTTTTGGCAAAATAAGGAGTGATGCAGAACGCATAAAAAGAAGATGTAAGGAAGACACAGAATCACTGTACCCCTCCCCCCCCGCCAAAAAAAAAAGGTTGATGTTTAACCATTTCAAGAGGTAGATCAAGAACCAACTGAAGGAAGTTCAAGGCGCAGTGAAGTCATTGTTAAAGAACAAGTCTCTGGGAATTGATGGAATACAAATTGAAATTTTTCAACAAACTGATGCAGTACTGAAAGCTATCACTCATCTATGCCAAGAAATTGGGAAGACAGCTACCTAGCCAACTGATTGGAAGAGATCCTGATCTGTGCCCATTCCAAAGAGTGGTACCCCAATGGAATGTGAAAATCATTGGACAATATCATTATCCTATGAGATTAAAATTTTGCTAAATATAATTCAACAGCAGTTGCAACAGTACGTTGACAGGAAACTACCAGAGGTTCAAGCCAGATTCAGACGAGGATGTGGAATGAGGGATATCATTGCTGATGTCAAATGGATCTTGGCTGAGAGCAGAGAATACCAGAAAGATGTTTTTCTGTGCTTTATTGCTTATGCAAAGGTTTTTGACTGTGTGGATCATGACAAGCTATGAACAACATTGCAAAGAATGAGTATTGCAGAAACCTTAATCATGCTCATGAGAAACCTGTTCCTTGACTAAGAAGTACTTGTTCAAGCAGAGCAACTGGAATCTTAATAGTTTAAAATCAGGAAAGGTGTGTGTCAGGGCTGTATTCTTTCACCATACTTATTCAATTTGTATGCTAAGCAAATAATCCAAGAAGCTGGATTATATAAAGAAGAGCAGGGCATCAAGATCAGAGGAAGATTTATTAATAAAATATGTAGATGGTACAACCTTGCTTGTGAAAGCAAAGAGGACTTAAAAATAATTACTGATGAAAATAAAAGACCACAGTCTTCTGTATGGGTTGTACCTCAATGTAAAGAAAACAAAAATCCTCATCACTGGACCAATAAATAACATCATGACAAATGGAAATAAGGTTGAAGCTGTCAAAGACTTCATTTTACTTGGATCCATTATCTACACTCATGGAAGCAGCAGTCAAGAAATCAAAGGACGTGTTACACTAGGCAAATATGCTGCACAAGAGCTCTTTGATGAGTTCAAGAGCAAAGATGTCAGTTTGAGGACTAAGGTGTTCCTGGCCCAAGCCATGGTATTTTCAAATGCATGCAAAAGTTGGACAATGAATAAGGAAGGTCAGAGAAGAATCAATGCATTTAAATTACTGTGTTGCTGGAGAGTATGGCAGCTGTAGGATAATGCGCTGGATTAAAAGGTTAATTTGAGCTGCAAGGTTGGCAGTACAAACCCACCAGATGCTCCTTGGAAACTCTATATAAAGTTGCTATGTATTGGAACTGACTCGACAGCACTTAATAACAACAATAATGGACTGCTAGAAGAACTAAGAAGTCTGTTCTGGAAGAACTAAGGCCAGATTGTTCCTTAGGAGTAGGGATGATGAAACTTCACCTCCTATACTTTGGATATCATGTTTGGTAAGTGGGTGATCAATAAAAAAGAGAAAGTCCCCCAGTGAGATGAATTGGCACAGTGGCAGAAATAATGGGCTTGAATACAACATCAATTGTGAAAATGGGGCAGTGTTTCATTCTTTTGTAAATAGGGTCACTATGAGTCGGACCCAACTTGATGGCACCTAACATGTTACATACTGCATTTGAGAATGTAGAGGAATTAGAGACGCTCCCCAACCAGATGGGGAGATGATATAGGAAGAGAATTAATTATAGTGCAATGACAATAATAATAATAAATACTTATATGAAATTTAAAATCTACTATGTACCAACATTAAGGAGCTCTGGCAGCACAGTGGTTATGAATTGGGCTGCGAACCTTAAGGTCAGCAGTTTGAAACTACCAGCTGTTCTGCGGGAGAAAGATGAGGCGTTCTCCCGTAAAGATTTACAGTCTCGGAAACCCTGTACAGGGTCGCCATGAGTTGGAACTGACTCCACAGCACATAACAACAACAACAACAACAACAACAACAACAACAACGTGTACCAATATTAACTTATCTGATCTTATAGCAACCCATTTTACAGAGGAAGAAATTAATGTATAGAAATGGTAAGTCATATACCCAAAGTTACTCAAGTCCATGCATTTAACCACTACACTATATTATAAAATGAGGGGAAAGAGATTGCTAAAAATAGTGGTCATATTTTCTAAACGTGCTCCTTGAATTGTGAAGGTCTATTCAACAGCCTGGTGTGGCATTGTGGGTTAATGTGCTGGACTGCAAAGTCAGTTTGAACAACAAGGTTGGCGGTTTAAGCTTACCAGCGGCTCCTGGAAACCCTATACAGGGTCACTATGGGCCAGGAACTGACTCGATGGCACTTAGCAACACCACCAACAATTCAACAGCATTGGTGGTGCTTTAGGATAAGCACTGTGTTCTTAGAGGCCTCACACTTTCTGCTCCTACAAAGATTTACAGTCTTGGAAATCCTATTCAGGGTCTCTATGAGTCAGACCTGATTTGACAATACCTAGCAATGATAACAACATTTTACAAGACTTAATAAAAACTTCTAAATCCTATCCTATCCTATGCTATCTTATCCTATCCGATTTAGGTTTGATTGTTTATCTAACCTACTTTCTTCCAAATAAACCTCTTTCTCTTATGTTTGCCAAATGCATCTTTCAAGTTCTTTGAATTGGGTGACTGCTCTCGGTCCTGCCTAGATGTGATCCTTCTCAACATCCCCATACCCTGCCTCTGCAAATCCACTGATGGGCTTTGGAGTAAGTTTCTGACTATGATACCCTGGAGGCACTACTTTAACTTTCTGAGTCTCAGTTTCCTCAATGGCAAAATGGTGTTGTGGTCAAGAGCCTTTGGGTCAGTTCCTACTCATAGTGACCCTATGTAGGATTTCTAACACTGTACATTTTTATCGGAACAGAAAGCCTCATCTTTCTTCTGAGGAGTGGTTGGTGAGTTTCAACTACCAACCTTGTGGTTAGTATTCTAGTGCTTACCCTATAAAGCCACATCATGGCATTTGTTGTTGTTTTTGTTATGTGCTGTGGAGTCGGTTCTGACTCATAGCGACCCTGTATAGGGTTTCCGAGGCTGCAAATCTTTATGGGAGCAGAAAGCCTCATCTTTCTCCTGCAGAACAGGTGGTAGTTTCGAACTGCTGGGCTCAAGGTTCGCAGCCCAATTCGTAACCACTAGGCTACCAGAGCTCCTTAGCCACATCATGGCATTTAGTTATCTGTTAATTTTAAATGAATGGTAATGTTACAAAACACATCTAGGAATCACCACTGGGGAAATACTGTCTTCTAAGCTTTACCATCCTAGTATCAAACATCACACCACTGACTAAAATTTGCATCTGCCAAAATTACTGTCATTAGGGGTTACCCAGAACAGCTGCATGAAATGACACTTAGAATCCATCCTAGTGTTATGAAGTCTATCCCTTTATTATCACAATCAAAATAAAAGCAATGGTAATAGAACCTCTTTAACATCTACTTCATTTTGCAATTCACAAAAAATTTCAAGTTTCATAGTATCCTTTCTTAAATCTGGGTGATATGCTTTATTGTTATCCTGTTTTATAGGTGAGGAAACAGGCTCAGATAATAAAAGCTCCTAGCCTTTAGGATTCAGCAACTGGTGGAGTTTTATTGAAATCTGAAATATTTTCTATTTAGCTTTTAGTTCCCTGGGTAAAGTCCAAATCGACCATTCACCCAAATATTTATCTCAAACATCCTTCTTTCTTTAGAAAACATGGCCAGTTATTCATTGCCACTCCTTCTCCCTCTCCCCAAGGGTATTTACTCGAAAGCCCCCATTAGAGAATATGCACAGACTAGGTTCCCAGAAATACTGATTTGATGATGGATGATCTGCCTTCACCCTGCATGAAGAACACCCTGACCTACATATTTCCTTGCACATAATAAAGTGCAGTGATTCATCAATGGGCAAAGTAGGTATCATCTGCTCAGCGCTAGAATGGGGCCATGGTGTTTTCTGAATACTGTGGTTAAGAAACCAGCAAAATGACCTCAGTTAATCCTTTTTCCTCATTATAGATGTTCCCAGATCTAGCTGACACATTCTTTGGCTGTTAAGAAACTAATGAATTTCATAGAAACAGGGAAAACAGGCATAAATAGTGAGGAGACCATGGGAAAGGCATTCCAAATATAATGGAATCTGTCTCCAAAGTCAACAAAACTCCGTTCTTCCTCAGAACAGTTCACAAGTATGAGAAAGGTCCAAGTCTTTAGGGAGTTTCTGAGCAACAAAGTTTTAATCCATTATCCATCACCACAACTCAGTGTTTCTCTAGAATCTCTTTTCTATCTCCTTATCTTTTTCCTTTGGTACCCCTATTACCACTTTTAATATCTCATAGTCTTGATCTAAATATCCAGGCACAATGTTATTTCAGTATCCTGTTGATCTCCTATTCTCCAGTCTTGTCTTTAAACAACCCATCTCAGTTTTCATTATGTTCTCCTCTGGTTAAATCTTTAATGGATACCTGATAGATAATAAAACCCGATCCTAGCACTCAGGATTCATAATAGGGGCTCAATATTACAATTTAATACAACGTAAGTTACTTAGTTCCCTCTCTTCATTATCATACTCATTTCTATAATAAAATATTTGCAGAAGATCGTTTCCCATCAAGAAAGCACTGCCCACCTGACCCCTTCTCAAGGATCAGTTCAAGTTCTCCCTCTTCCATAAAACCCTCTCTGAATAATCCCGCTCACATTTAATGGTAAACTTCGTCTGGACTCTGACACATATTTATACCCTCAATTCTAAAACTTTTTTGTAGTTTCTTTTTTTTCAAAAAAATAAATTGACACTGAACTATTTACTCTGCATGTCATATGTAATAGTGACTGTCAGCATTTTGAAGGCCACAGACCATGTCTCATCCTTTGGTTTCCCTCCTGGTCTGGTCTCTAGCAAGCTGGGCACAAAATATATATTCAACACATATGTTTCTAATTCAGCTAGATGAAATTTTCTTTTAAAGTATTTGGTCCCCTCCCCCTCCCTTTTGGTATAATTATTAAAAGTTCCTTGATCATGTATAGTAGTTATATATCATGTGGTTGCTTATATCATATATATATCATTCAGTTGTTTCAAAATAAAATAAAATAAAATAAAAGCAATATACACATACAAAGAATGAAAAAATAGACATTACTATTGCTATACATATGTTTATTTTTTCTGGAAGGCACTGGAGTGGGCAGATGGGCACATGGAATGATTAAATACAATAGCTTCAGTCTATGTGCCCATCTGCCCTCTGTTTTCCATTCTCCAGGTCGACCTAGTTCTGAACTTAATTCTTTCTCACATGGACAAGAGCTATCATCTCTTTCACTGTTTTTGATTTCTCCTTCATACTGCACAGTCATTCAATAATTTTTCTGAAGCACAACTTTGTCATGACATTTTCTTACTTAGAAACTCTCAGTTAAGTTCAAATCCTCTAGTCTGATATTTAAAAAATTTCAAGATAATGTCCCATTATGTTTTCACCTTTATCATTTAATAGTCTTCTTAACAGCCCCTATATTCTATCCAAACAGAATGCTTTGCATTGAGTTTCACACATGACACTACTTAATAATTTGCACCTTTACTAAAAAGACCCCCCTCCCATTTCCTTCCTTTGTGTGCAAACTGAATTTTATCTTTAATGATCAATTTGACATTAATATTGTCTTTCCAAATAATTCTACCAGGAAGGAATTCTCCTTTCTCTGAAGGTCCACATAGTACATACACTCTAAGGCTATTTATCATCTTCCACCAACGAGATGGATCAGCCAGGTGGCATCATTGATGGACTCAAGTGTGGCAGCGGTAGTGAGGTTGGCCCAGGATCGAACATTGTTTCGTTCTGCTGTGCATGGGGTTGCTATGAGTCGGTTCCGACTCGATGGCACCTGACAACAACAACATCTTGGATCTCTTATTTATCTATATTCATTCCCTCAAAAACACTGAACAAAATTGTTCAAAGTGTTTGGGAGTTTTTTAAAAAAATGAATACAGTCTACTGGTGAGACAGTAATAAACTTTCAAAATTTAAAAAATACATCGAATATGGTAACAGATGAAGGTCGGCACATATCTTTCTAGTCAGCAGTGGGGAACCTTTCTTTCCGCCAAAACTTATAATATCATACGTGGGCCATATAAAATCATCAGCTTAAAAATTAACCAGCCATATTTGGTCAAACGTTTAATTAACTCACCCCTCATGTGAGGGCTGAAACTGTGATTTCCTTGACACATGCCAGACCAAATAATTTCATGGGCTTTAGGCCCATGGGCTGTGTGTTCTCCACCCTTACTCTAGGGTAACCAGGGAATCTTAGAAGAGCAGTGATTGAATTCACACTTAAAAGGTGCTTAGGCATTAATTAGCTGTGTGGGTTAGGTAGAAGAAAGGCAAATGGATTAAGTGGGAAGCGAAGGATAAGAAAAGGCATAAACACATGAGAAAGCAAAGAACATTTGCAGACAATCACATTATTTATTATGAACTGGGTAGGATATGTTGAGAGAATATCAATAATAAGAGAAGAGACTAGTCAGGTGAGTAGGAGACCCTGAAGCATTTTGTAGAGTGGAGAGAGGATCAAAACCAAAAAGAGACTGTAAGCAACCTGGTGGGAAGACCCACGTCGGATTCAATTTGTATTTCTTGATTGTACTTAGTAGTACCAGGCACATGACATATGTACAAGTTGTATTTATTCAGTAAGTGAAAAGAAATGAGCTGTCAACTTTTAGACTAGAACACAAATACAAAGGCAAGCCAGATTTAAGGTTCGTACTTCACCTGTGTTATTCAGATCACACAAGTAGAGTGCATTTTCAAGTTTCCTGAATCTGTCTATCCATGTCTCACATTCTTCATTCTCAGTCTTCATGACGGGATCCACAAAAGGCTGGGACACTGGTCTGATCTTCAGAAGGTTCACAGGCTCTTTTGAGGATGGAGTCTTAGCAGAAGGACTATCTGGCTGCAGCTCCTCTTCTGAAGTTTTCTATCAACACAACACAAACACTTCACTGCCAATGCATTCACTACCCAGACCTTCTCCAGACTTTTGACCAGGGATGAGTCCACATGGCTAGCAAGATTTATTGCAAAAGTCTGGCCTTGTAAAATAGGAGGATGTGTTTCAAATCCTCAGAGCAATAGAGCTATTTCTCAACTAGTGCTGAGTTTTTTTTTTTTTTTTTTTTTGGTTGCTTTAACGAAAAGGTTGGAATCTTAATGTTCATTTGGTTTTCATTTCTGACTTACACAAGGCAACAACTTTTATGATATTCTACTGTTTTTTAATAGTAGGATTCAAAGGGGATGAGCTTCTGGCAATGTTTATAATTTCTTGGTAGGGAAATATATGCGTCATGAGTATGAAATTCTTTCCAAAGAGTGACTAAATAATTGTAATACTATCTTAGGCTCATGGATCCAGGATAAAGGGCCATAAAGCATCTTTATTTCTGTCTTACCTGTTTACTGGGAGTGGAAGTGACTACCAGCATCACACAGTAAAGACAAAGAGTAAATCCAAGGGGTAGACGTTATATTCAACTCATCTTGGTATCTTGGTCATTACATAATAGAGGTGCAATAAGTCTTTTTGTTTTTACGAATGAATAGACAAATGGGTTTTGCTGACTCCACATTAGGCATCCTGCCACCTACCATGCAGCGACAGTGGACATCAATTGTTTGATGTGCCCAGCAGGTTTTTTCCAGGAATTGCCCCCCTTTCAATGTTCATGTTGATAAAGGGAACTGCTATGTTCTAAATGCGTTTCAACTCTGGAGATCTAAGCAAAATGGATCAATAAGTCCATTGTATAGGAATTTTGGAATTATTTGTGCGAATTAAATACAGAGAAATAGAGAAATGGAGATCATTCTCTTTGTGAGAGGTTGGAACTCTTAACAGGTTTTCTATTTTGTGTCCTGGGAATGAGAAAAAGCTGGCATGCTGAGAGAAATTAGAGAGAATATAAAGTTGACAGCAGAAAGAAGAGACAAGATAGAGGAAGCTGTGATGATGTTCAAGGCCCTGATTTTAGATCATTCTTTCATTTCTGCCCTTAGGTAGCAAAATATACTCCTCTATGGGTTTGGCATTATGGTGTTGGAGGAGAATATTTAAAGTGCCATGGGCTGCCAAAAGAACTAACAGATCTGTGTTGGAAGAAGTACAGCCAGAGTGCTCCTTGGAAGCCAAGATGACCAAACTTCGTGTCTCATACTTCAGACATATTGTCAGGAGGGACCAGTCACTGGAGAAGGATGTCATGTTTGGTAAGATGGAGGGTCAGAGAAAAAGAGGAAGATCCCCAGTGAGATGGATTGGCAAAGTGGCAGCATCAATGGGCTCAAGCATGTCAACAATTGTGAGGTTTGCCCAGGATCAGGCAGTGTTTCATTCTGTTGTATGTAGGGTCGTTATGAGTCGGTACCGACTTGATGGCACCTAACAATAACAACAACAACAAATGGGTGACACAAGTGATTAAGTACTTGGCTACTAACCTAGAGATGAGCAGATCTAACCCACCTAAAGGTACTTTAGAGAAAGGCCTGGGGACCTATTTCAAAAGTATCTCAGTCATTGAAAACCTGAATAGATGCAATTCTACTCGGAAACACAGGGGGTTTCCATGAGTCGGTATCAACCCGCTGGCAAGTTTTAATAAATTAAGACATTAGAGTTAGTTCTGTTAATTAAGAGCAATTGCAATACAATCAGTAATAGCCAATATGTCATAATCTACCAGGCCTGTAAACTGTGTGCACCATCCGCTAACTTTCAAATGCCTACATTTCTCCAACTTTGCATCTTTGTCTTAAACATCTCATCTACAAACTGTGAAAGTCCCATAGCTCTAAAGAATAGTAATTGCAATAAGAAGCCTACTTTTGTGCTTCTTAACATGGATTAAGCTGCTGCTAAGAAATGTGAAGAAGAAATTTCTTTTGTTTGAAATAATCTACTGCTACCTGAAACCACACCCACATGGGTAACCAGCAACCAGTGAGTTTTAAGGGATTAATATGAAATAATTCTATTCTGGTACAATCAATTTTGGAAAAAGCAGAAAGTCATCATAAAGTAAATTAGAATAGTGGTTCTTTATATATTTTTAGAACTTTGGACCACTTTAAAAATCTGAAGAGAACTTTAGATAATCTTCTAGGTAAATGCAAGTTTTGCAAGTTTTGGTGTATTATTTTAGAAAATTCAAAGATGTCCTTGGTCTTCAGAAATTAATTTGGAACAGTTTTACATTTTTTGCAAATAGTACACTACTCTATTTAACCACAAAAGATAAGGCAAGGAAGGTTTGTATGGATCAGACTTAGGTTCCAGTAACAAACTAAAGTATGCTATTATAGTTTGTTCACATTGTGTCAGGATAAAATCCAAATTATTTGTCGGCAAGTAAGACCATTCATATTCTCATTTTTCCTTATCATCCACCTTATAATCTTTCAGGCCTACATATACATCTTTTTCTCAAGCCTCACAAAACCATACCATGTTTGGAAACAAAAAAGCTATTTTATGTCTTTATGCTTTCATACATGTTGTTCCTTCTATTATAAAACTTTTATGTCACCTACATACCTTTCAAGACCCAACTCATATTCTAGTTTTTTTTTTTTCTATTATGAATTAGGTAAAGCTTTTACAGAGTAGATCATCAATTTTACATTTTACAAATCATGCATACTTCATTTCACTTAATAAATTACAATCCCCTCAATGTAACATCACTTACCCTACTTCTTCCTTGTGTTTCTTGTTTTAATTAGTCCTTCGTTCACAACCCTTCTGAACTTTGTCCTTGTGTAAATGTTGTCCTTTTGATTTCAAATGGTTGACCATTCTATGGTATGTGTATCTCACTAGTGTTGTTGTCCCCTTAAATCTATCTGTGGCTTGGCTGAAAATTGGCCCATGGGGCTGAGTTCAGTTCCAGAACTGAAAGGAGGCCAAGGAACATAGTCTTGGGGTTCCACCAATCTCTATCTGACTAGTAAGGCATGTTTATGATTTTGAGTTTTGTTTCACATTTTCTCCTAGTCAGTCCAGGACCTTGTAATGTGATCCCTTCCGGAGCTTATTGGAAGCAGCCTGGTACCATCTAGTTCTTCTGGTTTCAGGGTAGTGGAGACTAATGTTGCTATGGCATATTTGACCATTGGACTGAATGTTTTCATGTCTTCAATTTTCATCACTCTTCTTTCTTCTGCATATGGAGAGACTAATAGTTGTTCCTTATATGGCTGCTCATTAGTTTTAAAGATCCCAGTCATTAGTCACTGAAATAGGAGGCAGAACAATGTCTCGTGGACTATGCTATGACAATTTACCATGGTGTTCCCTGACACTGTGGTCTGGAGCTCCCAGGTCCAGCGACTCACTCCCTCAAGATTATGTCTAAGAAGTTTTCATAACTTTGCCCCTTGTATATTCCACTACATTCATGGATATATTTTCAACCAAGGTAAATACCCATGTACAAATATCCTCTGTCAAACCTATATACATTTGTGGATATTACACTCTCTCTCCCATACCTGCTTAGCCTAATTATCTATCCATGCATTTACCCATTGTTATTATTAGATGTCATTGAATCTGTATTGATTCATAGTGATCCTATGTGTGACAGAATGAAACACTGTCCAATCCGGTACCATCCCAACAATCGTTGTTGCGCTTGAGCCCATTACTGCTGCCATGGTGCCAATTGGTGGTCTTCCTCTTTTTCTCCAACCCTCTGCTTTACCAAGCATGATGTCTTCTTCAGGAACTAGTGCCTCCAGATAATATGCCCAAAGTATGAGGGATAAAGTCTCACTATCCTGACTTCTAAGGAGCACTCTGGCTGTACTTCTTTCAACACAGATTTGTTCTTCTAGCAGTCCATGGTACTTTTAACATTCTTCTCCAACAAAATGAAAACTATGCATCACTTTTTCTATGGCCTTCCTTATTCATTGTCCAACTTTCATATTCATATGAGGCTATTGAAAATACCATGGTTTGGGTTAGGTGACCTTAGTTCTCAAATTGACATCTTTGCTCTTGAACATTTTAAAGAGGTCTTGTGTGGTAGATTTGCCTAATGTAATTGGTCATTTGATTCTTTTACTGCTGTTTCCATGAGTGTTGATTGTGTAGTCTAGCAAAATGACATTTTTGACAACTTGAATCTTCCTCATTTTTCATGAGGTTATTTATTGGTCTAGTGGTGAGGCTTTTTATTTTCTTTACATTGAGGTGCAACCCACACTGAAGACGGTGGTCTTTGATCTTCATCTATAAGTATTTTAAGTTATCTTCATTTCCAGAAAACAAGGCTGTATCATCTGCATGTGTCAGGTAGTTAATGAGTCTTCTAATCCTGATGCCGTGTCCTTCTTCATATACTCCAGATTCTCAGATTATTTGCTCAGCATACAGATTCAGTAAGTATGGTGAAAGAATACAATGCTGGAGCACTCTTTTCCAGTTTTAAACCATTCAGTGTCTTCTTGTTCTGTTCAAATGACTGTCTCTTCGTCTGTGAACAAGTTCCTAATGAACACAATTAAGTGTTCGAGAATACTCATTCTCCACAATGGTGTCCGTAGTTTGTCATGGTCCACACAGTCAAAGATCTTTGCATAGTCAATGAAGCACAGGTTTTTCTTGCATTCTCTGTTTCAGCCAAGATTCATCTGATGTCAGCAATGATAGTCCTCATTCTACATTCTTGTCTGAATCCAGCTTGAATCTCTGGAAGTTCCATGTCAATGTACTGTTGAAGCCATTTATGAATTATTTTAGCAAAATTTTACTTCATGTGATATTAATGATATTGTCCGATGATTTCCACATCCCAGCATTTTCTTTGGAATGGGCACAAATATGGTTCCTTTCTAATCATTGGCCAGGTAGCTGTCTTCCAAATATCTTGGCATAGATGAATGAGTGTCTAAAGTGATGTATCAGTTTATTGA